ACATTGCAAGTGCACATCTAAGTATTACTCAAATATTTGAGAGTTTCTGCCTCTACCACCCTTACTGACTATAAGGGTCCAGATTCCTACCACCTTCTGGGTGAACAAGGTTTTCCTCACATTTCCTCTGAATCTTCTGCCCCTAACGTTAAGTATGGGCCCCCTAATCAATGATCCCTCCAAAGTGGAAAATTTATTCCTGTCTACCCTATCTATCCCCCTCATAATTTTAAATATCTCAGTCACGTTCTCGTTAATCTCCTCTAAGGAAAACAGCTCGAGTCTGTCAAATCTCCAGTCCAAGCACAATCCTGGTAAATCTCCTCTGCACCCTCTCCAGTGCATTCACACCCTTCCATTCCAGAATCCTGTGGATTCCCAACTCTGTGCCTTGACTAATAAAGACATTGATCCCATATGCTTCTTAACCACTTTAACCACCTGTCCTGATACCTTGAGGAACCAGTGTACATGCATAGCAAGGTACCTCTGATCCTCTGTGCTTCTTAGGGTTTTACTGTTTAACATACATTTCTTTGTCTTGTTTGCCCTGCCCAAATGCACCATTTCACACCTATCCAGATTGAATTCCATTTGCCACTTCTCAACCTGTCTGACCAGCTTGTCTACATCCTCCTCACTATTTACCACCCACCAATTTTTGTATCATCTGCACACTTACTGATCCATTCATGTCTAAATAATTTACATAACCAACAAACACAAGGATCTCACACTGACCCCTTTAAGTGACGCCATTGGACACAGACTTCCACTTGGAGAAACACCCCTAAATCACCACCCTCTGCTTCCTGCCGCTCAGGATCGAATTTGCCAAATTTCCTTGGACCTTAGGGCTCTTTGCCACCTGTCAAATGGAATTTTGTCCTTCATTGCTAAAGGAATTGAAATAAAAAGCAGAGAAGTTATGTTGCAGCTGTACAAGGTGCTAGTGAGGCCACACCTGGAGTACTGTGTGCAGTTTTGGTCTCCTTACTTGAGAAAGGATGTATTGGAACTGGAGGGGGTGCAAAGGAGGTTCACTAGGTTGATTCCGGAGTTGAGGGGGTTGGCTTATGAGGAGAGACTGAGTAGATTGGGATTATATTCATTGGAATTCAGAAGATTGAGGGGGGATCTTATAGAAACATATAAAATTATGAAGGGAGTAGATAAGATAGAAGTAGAGAGGATGTTTCCACTGGCAGGTGAAGCTAGGACAAGAGGGCATAGCCTCAAGATTAGAGGGAGCAGATTTAGGACTGAACTGAAAAGGAATTTCTTCACCCAGAGTGTTGTTAATCTATGAAATTCCTTGCCCAGTGAAGTAGTTGACGCTACTTCAGTAAATGTTTTTAAAAAAAAGGTAGTTTTTTTTGAACAATAAAGGAATTAAGGGATACGGTGAGAACGCGGGTAAGTGGATCTGAGTCCACGAAAGGATCAGCCATGATCTTATTGAATGGCGGAGCAGGCTCGAAGGGCCAGATGGCCTACTCCTGCTCCTAGTTCTTATGTTCTTATGTCTGTTTCAGGGGACCTTATCAAAACCCTGGCTGAAGTCCAAGTAGACTACATCAAAAATATTGTCCTCATCTTAGACACCTCATCAAAAAAAAACAATCAAGTTGGTCAGATATGGCGTCTTCTTCACAAAACCATGCTGTGTTTGATTAATCCCTGCCCCTCCAAATGCAGGTTCATTCTATTCCTCAGAATTGCTTCCAATAGTTTCCACATTACTCAGGTTAGACTGGCCAATATTTTCCTAGTTTATCCCTTGCTCCCTTCTTGAATAATAGTACCATGATGGCTATCCTCCAGTCCTTTGATACCTCTTGTGTCCAGGGAGGAATTGAAAATGTTTGCAAGCGCACCTGCTATTTTCTCGCTGCCTCCTCCAAAAACCAGGATACTTTTTATTCACCCTTGCAGATTTATCTCCTTTAAGCCTGCCAGACCACACATAACCTCCTTTCTGTCTATGCTAATTAGTTTAATTGTATCACAGATCTTCTCCCTGATTTCTATACCTGTATCATCCCTGTCGCTAGCACAGGAGCAAACTCTTGTTTTTCATCTTTCTGAAAAGCAACCATTAAAAAAATACTTTCTCGGAAGGAATTCATTCATTACTTTTTCAATCATGTAAACAAATGACTATAGGTGTTTTAAAAAGCCTGTAAGTTGATTTTCTTCTGTGCCCTGTCCTTGATATGGACCAAGTGGTGTCTGACCTAACAAAATTAGTCATGACTATATATTGTTTCAGGGTTCATTGGCAGATAGATTTGGAGGAACGTGAGCAACAATATTCAATCATGCTAGCATTTATTGTAATATGAATATTATTGTCATTCTTGATGAAACTGTTTTTAAACGGTGAGGTTGCATGCATTTGATTTCGAGGGTCTGCTACTTTTGAATTCAAATTTGTCTGCCAATTATGAGAAAGACAGGACCTTACCTTGTAGTGGAGCTGATGGTTCAGTCACTTGCAAGGTTTAAAATTCTGGCAATGAGCATATTTTATGTCCGTATATACAAGAGTCTGCCCTTTTCTACTGAGTGTGGTCAGTAAGGGTTTATATATGTGTGTATGTATATTTATTACATTTATATGTTTAGTCTATGTAAGAGCTGCACTTCAAGAGTTTAAAAAAATCATTAGTCACAGTTTGGACATGGTTATTTGAAAATCCTTTTAAGAGAAATATTGTGCTATTGCAGTCCTGTAGAAACCAGTATACATTTAAAGGAGGTTACATACTGTTTGGTTGAACACAGATAATCAGGCTGTCTTATCTTTTCTGAGGGCATGGGTGAGTTTAGGTCACTGTGTTTTACACCAGTGGGAGACGAGTGGTTTCTTCATTAAAGTGACAGCATAACAATCCAATGAAGGAATGAGTTGATGGAGTTTAACCTCTGAAATGAAGTTATAGATTGAGCAATGTTTTCTATTTTAGATGAATTTTAAATCAAATTGTCTGAATGATTATGTCAAATCCCAAAGGTGTTCAATCCACAGGTTAATGAGGATGGGAGTGTGGTTTTGCTATTAGTAAGAGCTCTGCCAGTATGTGCATCCTTGAGCCAGGCCCAGCAAACATGAATAGGCCTGAGACATCTCAATGATGGCTGATGGCCTTTGTGCTATCACAGATTCCTACTCAGTCTGAATGGATTTCCACATAAGAGAGTGAAGCGTGACAGCCTAGCCTTACCCTCCTCAATATTCATGGAACTGGAAGCTAAACAATGCATTTTACTTTTAGGTTATGGTATGCTTTGCATCTGATTTTGAGTTGGCCTTTGAGTATTAGAAAAAAATGGGAATTTCTCCCAGGTTTCACTTAAAACTTTTTTGTGAAGTCTATCAATGCACAGGAGAGTGTAAGGGACAGATGAAGATCTGTAATCCTGGGGTGGGGAACAGTTCTTACTGGAGTTTATGAAGTATTACTAGCTCCTCAAAGGAATGTGTGATTTGGAACCTGTGACCTGCAAGAAATGATCCTATACGATGTGGAGAAATTCCCCATCCTGGTGATACCTGTCCAGCAGAGTTGGAACCCACTTTCACCGAGCACATTTAACCAATCATTTTGTGACAGTTTATAGAGGGTGTTGACATTAGCAAATTCATTTGTAAAGGTCAGTCTTCTTTTGATGATAGTGTGATTATGGGATGTTCAGAGCATATGAACAGCAAGGCGCTGGCCTTCTTGCACATGCAGAGGTTATAGCCAAAGCACATTACTCCAAGCTGGGATGCTGAACTGTACCTGTGGTTTGGTAGGTCATGTTTACCCAGAGGAAAGTAGCTATGTATCTCTTGAAATCATGTTGATCCAAATGCTGGCACATAAAGAAACTGGGACACCACTTGTCCAAATTATTAGTTTAGCTAGCTCAGACACCATTCGGTCCACAACTATGTTGTCATATTTGCTCATTCAAGGAATGACATGAACAGGTATCTTTTTTGAAATGTTATTGTGCGTGATAACCATAAATAGAAATTTCTCCTTGACTGCAAAGTCAAAAGTGTAGGAATTGCCAGTGGTTGCTTAGTCCTGTATCTTTGCATGCAAGAGTCCAATTAGTGGTGCTGAAATCATTGAAGTGAGCAGGAAGCTTGAAATTAGGTATGCTCACATCACAGTAAATGACTTGGGTTCATCATGGAATGTGATTTCCATAACAAAAACAGAATTGCTGGAGAAACTCAGCAGATTTGACAGCATCTGTGAAGAGAAACCAGAGTCAACATTTCAGTTCCAGTGATCATTTCAGTTCCAGTGATCGTTCATCAGAACAATGAATTCCATGCCTGGGTTTCCACAGCTATTGAATGCAATGTCTCTACAAAGACCACGCTTATTGGGAGAAAACAGTGACGGGATAAGTGAGGGAAAATAAATGGGAGCCTATAATTGCTGTGTTGTAAAATATGTGAATTTTGATAAGACCAGCTAGGATTGTGAGGCCTTTCATTGTTGAATAAGCTGCTGGCACTTTCTTTCTCAATTCATACAGTGATAATGCTCACTTGAATGACAAGCCGCAAATGGATTCTGCACTGACCTAAAGTGACACCTTGCAAAGGGAGAAAATATTAACACTGGGGAGCTCTGTACAGGCAGGTCTTTCTTTCTCATCAGTTGATACAATACATTATTTTATGTTAATTTTGGATGTTGTTCAAATTATATGCACAGTGGGAGTTTTTGTGTCCTGGAGGGTATTGCGGAGTCATGCAGACCTACAGCACAAAAAAGGCCCTTGGGACCAACAAGTCTGTTTTTGATTGGTGCAATCACCTAACTATTCTAATCTAATTTGCTAGCACTTGGCCCATAAGGAGTGAAATTCCTTATCATTACACAGAGTTTTGTATACATCCTGGGAAGAAAACTTTAGCTTTATGAGTGGATAAAGTCAACTTAATAACCTTAGAAATTCTGAAACTAAGAACCCTTCCTGACTTTTCGCAGGTTACTGTCAATTTCAACAGGAACAGTTATCAAAATGCAAGAAAAGCGAAATGTTCAGATAATCGAATGGGATGACTTGGACAAGAAAAAGTTCTACTGTATTGGTGTTTTAATGACTCTGTCTTTGCGACTTACAGTGTATCCAGCTGCACTAATTAGGACAAGGCTTCAGATACAAAAGGGGAAGAGTTATTACCACGGCACTTTTGACGCATTCCTTAAAATCCTACAAACCGAAGGCATACGAGGACTTTACAGGGGGTTCCTGGTGAACACATTGACCCTAATCTCTGGCCAAGGGTATATTACAACCTACGAGCTGGTACGTGTCTACGTGGCCAACTACAGCAATAGCAATGCTATTAAGTCACTTGTAGCAGGAGGCACCGCATCTCTTGTGGCACAGAGCATTATCGTGCCTATTGATATCATATCGCAGCACCTGATGATTGCAGGCCACAAAGAGCACCTAGGCAGGTTCAAGCTGTCAGCAACTGAAGGAAAATACAAACAAGCATTCGGACAAACTCAGGAAGTTATCACTCAGATTTTCAGGCTTGACGGCCCAAAAGGATTTTACAGAGGATATTTAGCTTCTTTGATGACGTATATTCCTAACAGTGCCGTGTGGTGGCCTTTTTATCACTTCTATGCAGGTATGTAAGACTATCTTTCTCTCCCTATCATGAACCCCAGCTACTCACATTATATCTGAACCTTTTAACCTGGACACAAATAATCTGAAAGAAGAGCTTTTATTAAGTACATGTATACATTGTAATTTATTACAATCTGAAATAAGTTCTGCGCATTGGCAAATTCGAGTTTATTCAGATATTGTATTATGATTAAGGCCACATTCACAAATTTTGTGGCTTTATTCAGGCTTGATTTATCTCAAGACTGAATGTAGCATAACATGTTTGCAGCCATTTGGTAACCACAGTAAAATAGATGGTTTCTAATCAAACTGTTCGGGAATGTTATTACACATCTCTAATGCAGGTGGCACTAGAACTTGGACCTCCTGACCTAAAGGTGGATGCATTGCCACTGCCCCTCGGAGCCCTAGTAACCACAGTACAACAAACTATAAAGAATTAAATAGATAATTGGAGTTTTGGAGTTAGTCAGAGCATTAGGAGAGGTAGCCAGGTATTTGGGAGAGACGATGATGTGGATTGATAGTTTGGGGTTGGTGGGGAATAGTGGGGAATATTAGGGGTTCAAGGGGTGTAATTGGGTTTGGGTGGGATGGTCTGGGTTCATCAAGTAGTGAGGGGGAAATTTATAGTGGACAGGGGTTGATAGGGTATGAGTCAGATGTTCGGGGAGTCATCGAGTGTATTTAAGGCAGAGATAGATAGGTAAGGGGATCAAAGACTCAAAACGTAACAACTTGGCTGCTCAGGAACCAGGTTTGAGTGGGTAGTGTCTGGAGAGAGATAAAGTCTAGCTTTTTGTAGTTATAGTCTGCTAGGAATAGAAAGTGGGAATGAGAAACCCAAGCTTGGTGACTAGTAGGTAAGGTTGTTTAATCAGTTCCTGTGTTATTGTAGTTGATAAGGTTGATTTAATCGATATGGTTCACAATGGCAGGAGAACTCATCCCTGTGGAATGCATGTCCTGCAATATGTAGACAATCAGTGACACTTCCAGTGTCCATGGTAACTATGTATGTAGGAAGTGTGTTCATAGAATCATAGAATTCCTACAGTGCAGTTCAGCTGCAGCTGCCAGTTTGCTGCACGGAGTGCCTGGAGCTGTGGATGAACTCACTATGGAGCATCCATGAAGCAAAGAATGTAGTGGATAGCACATTTAGCAAGTTTGCCGCATCACCAGTTAAGGACTACAGAGAATAGTTGGGTGACCACCAGGAAATGAGTAAGCACGGGCAGGCAGTGCAGGAGTCCCGTGTGTCCATTTCCCCCTTAAAAAGATGTACTGTTTTGGATGCTGTTGTGGGGGATAGGCCCTCCGGGGAAAGCAGCAACCAGATCAATGGCCCCAAGACTGATACTGTTGTACAGCAGGGATGGTCAGGCTGGCAGTAGTGATAGGGGATTCTATAGTTGAGGGCTCGGGCAGACGTTTCTGTGGGCGTGAGCAAGATTCCAGGATGGTATGTTGCCTCTGTGGTGCCAGGGTCAAGGATGTCTCTGAGTGGGCACAGATATTTTGAAAGGAGAGGGTGAGGAACCAGAGGTTGAGGTCCATATTGGTACTAAAGACATAGGCAGAAAGAACCATGAGGTCCTGCAAAGGGAGTTCAGGGAGTTAGGAAGAAAGTTGAAAAGCAGGACCTCTAGGGCTGTAATCTCAGGAATACTTTCTTTGCTATGTGTCAGTGAAGGCAGAAAGAGGAAGGTAACCATTATTTAGCTGTACTAAGACATTGTGTAGGTGGAAGGGCTTCAGATTTGTGGATCATCAGGATGTCTTCTGGAACCTAAACTGGAGGGGCACAAAATATCCTGGCAGGGAGGTTTTGCTGATGCCACTCAGGAGTGTTTACATTTGTGTGGTGGGAACCAGAGTAGTAGGTCAATGAAGAACACACGGAGAAGTTACTGAACACAGCAGGACTGACGGTCTGAGGTGTATTTGTTTTAATGTGAGAAATATGACAGGTAAGGCAGATGAACTGAGAGCTTGGATTAATTTATATATAATTATGATTCTGTAGCTACTACAGAGACTTGGTTGATGGAGGGACAAGACTGTAAGATTAATGTTCTGGGATTTAGATATTTCAAGTGAGAGGGATGTAAAAGAGGTGGGGGAGTTGTGTTACTGATAAGAGAGGCTATCACAGCTGTACTGATGGAGGACACCTTGGAGAACTGATCCAACAAGGCGAAATGCGTAGAGCTCAGGACAAGGAAGGGTGCATTCACTTTGATGGGATTGCACTACAGGCCTCCCAACAGCCAGCGGGTGATAAAGGAACAGATATGTAGACAGATTCTGGAAAAATGTGAAAACAAAAGGGCTATTATGGTGCAGAACTTCTTCAGACACATATTCCCCTCCTCTCCCTTGTCCGCCTTCCGCAGGGACCATTCCCTCTGGGACACCCTGGTCCACATCTCCTTCACCCCCAACACATCCCCACAGCCCTGCAGCACCTTCCCCTGTAACCAGCGAAGGTGCAACACCTGCCCATTTACCTCCTCCCTTCCCAGTTTCCAAGGGCCCAAACATACCTTCCAGGTGAAGCAACACTTCACCTGCACTTCCCAGAATCTGGTCTACTGCATTCGCTGCGCACAATGTGGTCTCCTCTACATTGGGGAAACGAAGCATGGATTTGGCGACCATTTTGCAGAGCATCTACGTTCTGCTCGCAAAAAATACCCTGAACTACCTGTTGCCTGCCACTTTAACACACCACCCTGCTCCGTGGCCAACATCTCTGCCTTTGGCTTGCTGTAGTGTTCCAGCGAAACCCAACGCAAGCTGGAGGAACAAAACCTCATTTTCTGCTTGGGGACCCTACAGCCCTCTGGACTCAATATTGAGTTCCATAATTTTAGGGCCTAAACTCTCCCATGTCCCAGTGCCACACCCCACACACCGGGCCTTGTTACTACATAGCCTGCCATTACACATCCCCTGTTGTTAGTCACTAACAGTCCCCATTAACAACTATTCACCCTCCCAGCCTGATTGTTAGCAACTCCTTTGTCTACCCAACTGTTTTTCTCTCTCTTTGCGCTCTATCCTATCATTTACTCCCTACCCCACCCACCTCCCTATTTTCTGCATATAAACTGACGTTTTCCCAGCCACTATCAGTTCTGAGGAAGGGTCACCGGACCCGAAGCCTTCACAGATGCTGCCAGACCTGCTGAGCTTTTCCAGCAACTTTGTTTTTGTTCCAGGGCTATTATGGTGGGTGATTTCAACTTCGCTTGTATTGACTGAAACTCCCTTAGTGCCAGGGGCTTGAATGGGAAGAAGGGTGTTGTTTGATGTGTCCTAGATTTTTTTTGAAACAATATATAGATAGTTCATGTGGAGGAAGGGCCGTACCAGACTTGGTATCTGGAATTGCACCAAGCTAGGTGATCAAAATTTCAGTGGGGAAGCATTCCGGAACAGTGACTGTAAATTCTGTAAGTTTTAAGTTGTATGTGGATAAGGATAAAGTGATCCTTGGGTGAAAGTGCTAAGTTGTGGGATGGCTAACTACCACAATATTAGGCAAAAAACTCGGGACTGTAGATTGGGAGTGGCTGTTTGAGGATTAAATCCATATCTGGAATGTGGGAATCTTTTAAAGGCCTGCTGATTTGTATTCAGGATCAGCATGTTCTGGTGAAAATGATGGACAAGTATGGAAAGATTTGGGAACCTTGGATAACCGGAGAAATTGAGAGCTTAATCAAAAAGAGAAATGAGGCATACATAAGAGTTAGGGAACTGAAAACAGACAGAGCCCTCGAAGAATACTTAGATAGCAGGAAAGAAGTCAAACAAGGAATTCCAAGGACTTAAAGGGCCATGAAATGTCCTTGGCATACAGGATTAAGGAAAATCACAAGGCATTTTATGCATACAAGGAGCAACAGTGTACCTGGAGAAAGGGTAGGTCCACTCAAGGAAAAGGAGGGAATTTTTGCATGGACCAGCAGAAGTAGGTGAGGTCCTTAATGAATACTTACATTGTATTCACAAAAAGATGGACATAGTGGATGATGAGTCTCAGCAGCAGTATGTGATTTTCTAGGTCATGTTAATGTGAAAAAGGTGGTGGTCTTGGGTGTTTTGAAAAGCATTAAAGTAGACAAGTCCCCAGGACCTGATGGGATCCATCACAAAATCCTGAGGGAGTCAGGCAGAGGAAATTTCTGGGGCCTTGTGTGCAGCCTTTGTATCCTCTTTAGTCACAAGAGAGGCCCCAGAGGACTAGAGAATAGCCAATGTTGTTCCTTTGTTTAAGAAAGGCAACAGGGATAATCTGGGAAATTACAGGCTGATGAGCCTTATGTCAGTGGTTGGGAAATTATTGGAGAAGATTTTTAGGGTTAGAATTTACACACAGTTGGAAAAATGTGGACTCACTTGCAATAGGCAGCATGGCTTTATGTGGGGAAGGTCATGTCTCTCAAACTTGATTGAGTTTTTTGAGAAAGTGACAAAGATGATTTACCGCAGGGCAGTAAATGTTATCTACGTGGACTTTAGCAAGGCCTTTGACAAGGTCTCTCATGTCCCGTTGACGCAAAAGGTGAACTCGTGGGATCCGCAGTGAGTGGATACAGAACTGACTTAATCATAGAAGACAGAGTAGTGTCAGAAGGGTGTTTTTCTGACTGGAGATCTGTGACTGGTGGTGTTATAAAGGATCAGTGATGGGGGCCCCTATGGTTTGTGAAATACGTAAATGATTTGGAGGAGAATGTAGGTGGCCAAACGAATGTGTTTGCAGATGACACAAAAACTGGGGGAGCTGCAGATCGTGTGGAGGATTGCCAGAGCATACGGCGGAACATAGATAGGTTGGAGACTTGGACAGCTAAATGGCAGATGCAGTTTAATCCAGGAAAATGCGAGGCAATGCATTTTGGAAGATTTAATGCAAGAGGGAAGTATTCAGTATATAACAGAACTATATCATAGCATCATCATATAGGGGGATCTAGGCATACAAGTCCACAGTTCCCTGAAAGTGGCAACACAAGTGGGTAAGGTGGTCAAGAAGACATATGGGTTGCTTGCTTTCATCATTTGGGGCATTGAGTTTAAAAGTGAGCAAGTCATGTTGCAGCTGTACAGAACTTTAATTAGGCCACTTTTGGAATATTGTGTGCAGTTCTGATTGCCACATTCCCAGGAGGATGTAGAGGCTTTGGAGAGGTACAGAATCAGTTTTCCAGGATGTTGCCTAGTTTGGAAATTATTAGCTATGAGGAGAGATTTGACAAACTTGGTTTGTTTTCACTTGAAAATTGACCTGATGGAAGTTTACAAAATTCCGAGATATGGTTAGAGTAGGTTTCAAATCTTTTTCCCAGGATAGAAATTACTAGGGGACAGGTAAAGGGTTAAAGTTTAAAGGACGTGTGAGAGGCAGGTTTTTTACATTGAGGGTGGTAAGTTCCTGGAATACACTGCTAGAAGTGGTAGTGGAGGCGGATACAATCACAATGTTTAAGAGGCATCTTGACAGAAATAGGAATTGACGATATGCACCGTGTAGAGACATTAGGTTTTTAGTTTAGAAAGGCATCATGTGTTTTCACAGTCATGGTGGGCTGAAGGGCCTGTTCCTGTGCTGTACTGTTCTTGGTCTTTGTTTAAGGGTTATGGGGAGAAGGCAGAAGAATAGGGCTGAGAAACATATCAACCATGACTGAATGGTGGAACAGACTCGATGGGCCAAATAGCCTAATTCTGCTCCTATATTTAGGGTCTTATGAAACCAGTGCAGTGTCAGGGTGGTCCACAGCATAATCTCCTAGGTGGTAAAGATGTTGTTTTAACTACCTAATGTTTCCTGAATAACTATCCAGGTAAATCATTTCTAAAATCTCCAATTCTAGCTCAGCAAGGGGAACTTTATTGAAGGGTTCCAGATGCTACGTACTTGCCCATCAGACATTGACATTTTCCAGGCAATTTCTGCATGGTTATTGAGGGACCCCGACATGTATCCTGACCACCCAAAGATCAGACGATCCAGGCTATGCTCTTTGAGTTCTTAAAATTCTATCTATTTCATCGAACTTTGATCAGTCTACATAGAAGCATTAAAAACATAAGCACGGGAGGCCAATCAGCCCGTTGTGCTCATACCTTCCGAGAACAGACGATGCAGCCCAATCTCACTTTCTAACTCTTGGTTTTTGCCCTATTGGTTGCAGAATTTCCAATGTATTTCCAAACATTTTTAAACGTGAGAGGGTTTCTACCTCAACTATTCTTTCAGTCAGTGAATTCTAGACCTCCTCCTCAGTCTGGGTGAAAACATTTCTCCTCAACTTGAATCCTTCTATCAATTACTTTAAATCAAATCTTTGCCCCCGGTCATTGTCTTCTTATCAGATGGAAATAGGTGTTTCCTCTCCAGTCTATCTAGTCCCCTCAGAATTTTGACTGCCTCAATAAAATCTCCCTTCGACCTCCTGCAAACGGAGTAAACCTAGCTTATCCAACTTTCCAATGAATTTCTCAGTTTCTGGCAACATCCTCATCCATCTCTTCTACACCTTTTCTAATGTCTTTCCTATAATGTTGTATCCAGAGTTGTAAATCCTGTAGTATTTTACACTATTGTAGCATAACCTCTCTCTGAACCCTCTCTTTGAATCCCTTTACTTCCTGAGTTGCACCCTATTGTGAACCTTACATTTAGCCTGTCTGTTGCAATACCTTTCTCTGGGAACTTACTGCATAGCACTACCATCTGGGTGCAAACAGTTTACCTAAGTTTCTCTTCTAAAATCCTCACTTTTTGTTTGTGTCTCGGGTATTCAAACAAGTGCTCAGAGAGAAAGAGAAAGGGAAAAAAAATGGGAGAAGAGACAAATGGACTGCTGATGGTAGTAAGCTGGTAATAACTAGGAGAGGAGTAAATGCTGAATGGGTATTAATGGAAAGTAGGAATGGTTCAAAACGGGTTGTTTATGCTGGGAGCAACCCATACAGCAAAGGACCTGTCAACTATTCATAGTCACTCAGCATTTGCTTCTCTCCCAGCTCACTATCAGCTATCCCTTTTTCTGCTACCTTTTTTTTCTGTCTCTCTGGATACCATCTCAATCTAAACATCTCACTTAGCCCTATCACCAGCTGCTTTTAGTTTTGAATAAAGGTCACTAGACTTAACATTAACTCTGTTTTCTCTCCACAGGTGTGGTCAGACCTGCTGAGTTTTTCCAGCACTTTGTTTTGGTTGCACTTTTATACCTCAGATCTGCCAGTTATTTTGAAGTTTTGTTTAATCTTTCCTTCATTCATCTCTTTTCCCAGTATTATTGTGATAATTCTCATGAATGTTCAAATGACCTTATATTTATTGTCATGCTTATTAATCGAGTAATCCAGAGACATCAGACTAGAAAACAAATGGAAGCACTTCTACCACAAATCTAGATATAACTGTTGAAATTAAAAGATTTGTCTTCAAAAGAAATTGGAGCTCATAACAAGTTGTAAGTGGTCTCAAACTCGATTAATCATACTTTGTAACCATTTACGTTTTTTCACGCATCAAAAACCTGTCTTTATTATATATTCCCTGTTAGAATTTACAAAGCCCAGAGAAAAACCTTGTGTGCTTATGATATTAGGGCAGGGTAACTGAGTGAAGATTATGTACATCTAACCATTGACATTTTTTCTGTCTGTAATACAGAACAGCTGTCAAAATTGGTTCCCAATGAATGCCCTCATTTGGTCCTCCAAGGAATTGCTGGACCACTGGCAGCAGCCACAGCATCTACACTTACCAACCCAATGGATGTGGTCAGGGCTAGGGTTCAGGTGAGAAGACCTGTTAAAAATGATAATTTTTTGCATATTAGTGTTACTAGGAGGGCCAATGCTTATTTTCCATAGTTGTCCATGAGAAGTGCTACAGCCTATTTGCCGAAAAGTGAAGGTCCAAGCATTTTGACCTAACAATGAGAGGGAAGGATGATTAAGGTCATCATTAATGTGTAACATGTAGTAGAACCTGACAGGTTTCCAAGCACATACTGTCCTCACCCTTCTAGGTAGTAGCAGTTATGTTTTTGAAAGGTGCTGTTGAAGGAACCTAGATGAGTCATTGCAGCGCTGATGATGGAGGAGGGAGTGACTGTTGAAGATAAATGATGAGCTGTTTTGCCTTGGAACACCAACTCCACCAATGTCTTAAAATGCAATTTTGTTCTTGCAGGAAAGCTACTGAACTCAAGGGGTTTTAAGACATTTTAATATACTGATAATTAATCTCTCCTGTCAACTTATTGAGGAAATACACAAACAATGCTGAGCTGTATAGGTCAGCAAGACTCTGTTTAACCCCAATTTGTGCAGTTTTCTAATCACAGACAAAGGTATAATTAAAGTGTCATTCTTAGTTAAGAAAGTAAAACTTATTCAGAGCTTCTCATCTGTTTCCTATAGTTTAGTTCCTTATTGTCTTCTGATCAGGTACAGGTTATTGTGGACGTGACATTTACCATTAGAAAGACAAAGTTTAATAGAATAAAACCTGTTCAGCTGGCTCTGCAGATACCGTGAACAAGAACGTTTTGTTGCAACCTATTTCTGTATAACACTTTATGACATTGCTCAAATGTCCTGTTAGCTTCTAGGCTTTTACGTTTGTTTTCGTATTTAGGGCAGAAACACTGTACACAACGTTTCACTAATATTTAAAACATGCCTTTTTCAAAAAAAAACAAACTTGCTGAATGCTTGTGAAATACGGCACAAAATATTACAACAAGCTTAATTTGAGCATGTTCAGAGGCATCTTTGGGTCACCTCCATGAACCTGCACTCTGCTTACAGGAAGCCTGTATGACGGATAAAGTGCAGCATTTTGTGGCCTTGATGCTCTGACCTATATTCCCTGCAAATATAGTCCCAGATTTTGTCCTGTGCTGTTAGTCAAACTTAATTCCAGGAGAAAGGATGCTATAGGGTGTGGACTGGGGAGATGGAGAATAGAACAGCGCTGCTATCATAAATAAAACAAAATATTGTACTGTGGAAATCTGGTTTTTCTTTAAAAGTGCTGGGTAGAGTCAATAGGTCTGGCAGCATCTGTGGAAAGAGAAAAACAAAGTTTCAAGTTGAATGTGACCAGGTTGGCACTGGCAACATTTGAATGTTCATATCAGCAGCAGGAGTAGGCCATTCATCCCTGTTCTGCCATTCAGCCCTGTTCCACCATTCAGTAGGATCTGATTGTAACCATAAACCTACATTCCTACCTACCCCTGACAACCTGTTTCCCTCTTGCTTAATAAGCATCTTCCTCTGCCTCAACAATATTCAAAGACTCCACTTCCACCACATTTTCAGGAAGAAATTTCCATAGATTTGTGTCCAATGAGAAAACTTTCACTTCCTTTCTTTTTATTAATGGCAAACCCTCATGTTTAAACAGTAGCCCCTAGTTACAGATTCTCCCACAAGGGGAAATGTCCTCCTCGATTCACCCTGTCAAGACCCTTCGCGATCTTATGTGTCAATGAAATTATCTCTTACTCTCCTAAACTCCAGTAGAGTCAAGCCTGGGCTAAAGTTAGCTCCGAAGGCAACACATCCATTCCAGGTATTAGTGTGGTAAACCTCTGAACTGTCCCCAATGCATCCTTCCTTAAATAAGGTGACCAATACTGTATGCAGTACTCCAGATGTGGTCTCACCAATGCCCTGTATAATTGAGGCATAATCGCCTACTTTTGTATTCACTTCACAGTGGATTCAACTATAACATTCTATTAGCTTTCCTCATAATTCTTCTGCCTGTTTGCTCTCTCTTGATAATCTTGTTGAGAGTTTCAAATGATCTAATTTTCATGATTGACACAGACTTGTGGGGAGAAGATGGGTGAGCTCATTGACCATTATTATTCATGAAGATTTAATAAATTACGGTATTTAGGCAGTGTGTTTGCCAAGTGACTTTAAACATAGACACATCAACAGTTTGATTCAAATATAAATGGAAGAGGGCAAGCAGAATTTGAAAGTGGCAGACTGAAAATATCTAAGCACAGCCATTGTCCAATTCATAAAACACAATACTTGAGTAAGAGATTTGTCACAAGGCATTAATGTAGAGAGATCAGGTAGCCATGAACTCTCAATCATCCACTCCCTGTACCACTGGTCTGTATTATGTACTGTCTGCAGGATGTACTGCAGAAACCTTTTAACAGCATCTCTCGTATAAATACTCATCAACTCCTAGAAGGGTAATGATACCAGATACATGGGAGCACCAGAGTCATAGAGATTTTACAGCATGGAAAAAGGCCCATTGTTTCCACACTGATTGTCAAACATCCATCTTTTATATTCCCTTTTTCCAGCGTTTGACCTGTAGTTTTGTATGCTGTGGCATTTCAAGTGTTTATTTAAATAGTTCTCAAATATCTTGACGGTTCCTGCCTCTACCACTTTAGACAGCAAGTTCCACATACCCTCAACCCTCTAGGTGAAAATAGTATTTCCTTATTGACACCTCTACTAAGGGAAAAAGTTTTCTCCCTATCTACCCTATATCCCTCGCAACTTTTGTACACTTCAATAAGATCCCGTTGGCCCTCTCTGCCCTCAGCAAAGCAACCCCAGTCTATCTAGCCTGTCTTCATAATTAAATCGCTTTCAGCCCAGGCAACATTTTGATGAAACTTTTCTACACCCGAGTGTAATCACATCCTTCCTGCAGTGTAGCGACTAGAAGTGCCCACATAACTCTTGCTGTGGCCTAACTAACATTATATACAGCTCCAACATAACTTCCTTGCTTTAGTATTCAATGCCTTTACTAATAAAGGCAAATATCTCATTTACCTTTTTAACCATCTTATCTGCTTGTGCTACCTTCAAGAATCTGTGACCAGGAGCACCGAGGTTCCTCTGATGCTCTGTACTTCCTAGGGTCTTACTATTAATGTGTACTCCCTTGTCTTGTTTGTACTTCCAAACGGATCACCTCACACTTCTCAGGATTAAATTCCATCTGGCACTGTTCTATATCTATCACTATCTATATTGTCCTGCAGTCTAAGGCATTTCTCAACATTATTTACCGCACCATCAACTTTTATGTCTTCTGCACACTTACTGATCGTACTTCTTACATTCACGTCTAAATCATAATGTACACGACAAATAGTATGAGTCCCAGCACTGAACCCTGTGGGGTGCCACTGGACACAGGGTTCCAAATGCAAAAACACTCTTCAACCATCACTCTGTGCTTCTTGCTACTAGGTCGCTTTTGGATCCAATTTGGTAATTTGCCCTAGATCATCTTAATCAGTCTGCCATTTGAGACATTTGTCAAAAGCCTTGCTGAAGTCCATGTGGACTACATCAACTGCACTACTTTCAACTGCACACCTAGTGACCTTGAAATATTCAATCAAGTTTGTTAGGCATGATCTCCCCTTTATAAAGACAAGCTGACAATCCTTGATTAACCCTTGTCTCTCCAAGTGGGGATTAATTCTGTTCCTCAGAAATATTTCCAGTAGTTTTCATATCACAGGTTTTAGCGACCCTGACTCAATGCTAATTCATTCAAGTATATTACAGTTGCTGTTCCTGATTTCTATAGCCTATATTGTCATAGATCATACAGCATGGAAACAGAGTTTTGGGTCCAACCAGTTCATGCCAACCATAATCCCAACTTAAACTAGTCCCACCTGCCTGCTCCTGGCCCATACCCCTCCAAGCCTTTCCTATTCATGAACTTATCCAAATGTCTTTTAAATGTTGTAATTGTACTTGCGTCCACCACTTCCTGTGGAAGTTCATTCCACATGCGAACCACCCTCCATGTAAAAAGTTTGCCCTTTTCTCCACTTAACTTAAAAATGTGCCCCCTAGTCTTGATATCCCCCGTCGTATGGAATACACAACTACCATTAACTCTATCCATACCTCTCATTATTTTACAAACTTCTATAAGGTCACCTCTCAACCTCCTATGCTCTAGTGAAAAAAGTCCCAGTCTACCCAGCTTTTCTTTATAATTCAAACCTTCCATACCTGGCAACATGCTGGTAAATCTCTTTTGAACCCTCTCCAGCTTAATAATATTTCTCCTATAACTCCTTCTCTACAGGGAATAAAAATACAGAGTACTTATTTAAAACCTGAGCTTGTCTTCCAGCTGCACACAGATTACACTCTAATGGGTTCTTCTCTTTCATTGGTTATTCTCTTGCCACTAATATATTTAGAAATTTCCTTTGGATTTTCCTTAATGTTACCCATTGTGTTTTTTAGGTTCCCTCTTCACTCTCCTGATTTTCTTTTCAAAATGAAACGCTGTACTTTCTATTCTCCTCTAGAGTATACACTGGCATCTATCATAAGCTTTCTTTTTCCCTTACTTATCTTGTACATCAGTATACATCCAAGGTTCTCTGGACTTGTTCGTCTCACCTTTCACCATTTATGGGAACATGTTGGTCATGAACACACACTATTACCCTTTTGAATGAATCCCACTACTCTGCTATGGATTTTCCTGCATCTGGCTGCTCCACGTCTACTTTGGCAACATCCGTTTTTATCTTATTAAAGTACCTGAATTCAATATCTTTATTATCAGTTCATCTCTGTCCTCATCCATAATTAGCTAAAATCTTACTGAATTATGGTCATTGTTACCAAATGTCCTCCCACTGCCACATCTTCCACTTGCTGAGCTTTGTTCCCTAAAATTAGGTCCAACATCATGTCCAATAGGACATTCTATGTGCTAGCTTAAAAAGCTTTTCTGGATACATTATAAGAATTCCACCCCCATAAGTCTGTCACACTCACATTTTGTCTAACTCAGTTAATATTGAGGGAGTTGAAACTCCCTACTCTTATTATCTTATTATTTTTAAACTTTCCTGAGATTTGCCCACATGTACTTTTCTATCTGTCCCTGACTGAAGGTCCAGAGTACACGTACAGCAAAATAACTACCCATTTTTTTTCAATTATAACCATTCAGCCTTATTTAAGGAACATTCTAAGATTCCATCCCTCCTTACTGCAGTAGTTGACTCTTTGAGTTCCCTCTCAAGCCCAACACTTTCCTGACTTGGAACTATATCCCCAATCTTTCCCTACACTGGCTCAAAATCCTAGAATTCCCTATCAGCACTATGTGTGTGCACCTACATCTAATGGATTGCAGCGGTTTTAGAAGGCAGCTCACGCTAGTGAGGAGGCAGTTAGAGTAGGCAGTAAATGATCTTGCCACCATATCCATATCCCAAGAAATAATTTGAAAATAAATCATTGTCTATATCACCCCGAAAGTATTATTTCTATTTTGTTTGTCACCCAAGCTGAGAAAAGGAGGGAGCCTGTGAAAGAGAAACTAGGGAGATTTCCGAGCTTTATAAGCTGAATGAAGGTTAAATGTTTACTTTCCCTGGGAAAAGAGGCTAATTTGGGATAATGGTTAAATATTACTATGTTTCTCTCATTGTATAAATAAATTCTTCATAACTAAGGAATGAGTAACATGAGAGCCAAGTGACAGACAGATCTCGTAGTAACTTAAATGTTCAATATCCAACCTCAAAATAACTTGATACCAAATCTAAATTTGATCAAGGTGAACTTGTGGGATGGGAGGGAGAAGATGTGATAATGAATAGAGAACAAAGTCAGGGCAATCCACACTTAGAAAGACACCAGGTTTTTTTCCTGATTACAGTAATTTGCTTATTATCTTTCATCTCTGCTGTTTCAGGTGGGGGGAAGGGCCTCGATAATTGGAGCTTTTGAGCAACTTCTAAGAGAAGAAGGTCTGTTGGGCCTGACCAAGGGATTGTCAGCACGCATCTTATCCTCTGCTCCAGCAACTCTCCTCTTGGTGATTGGTTACGAAACACTGAAAAAAATAAGTTTGAGGCAAGAGCTAGTGGAATCTCGACACTGGTAGCTGCCTTTGAGCTAGGATCTAATTGCAACAAACAGATGCAAGTTTCTACAGTGGCTATTAATGCATAGTTATAAAAGTTTGGTCACCTTGTACGTGAACATACTGTCTGAAATTTTAAACTTCAGTGATGATGCAGGTACCGCATTAAGGCAAAGGACCTTATTCTAAAAATTACCTTTCTGTTTTTTGGTTTAAGAGTATTAATTATGGAAACATCTGGCAGTCCATTGATAGATTTTGACTTTAAAAGCTTGGGATTTGTTGGAGAAGATTTTAAGTTGCATTACATAAGGCTGCTGCACTACCTGTAAGACTGGTGCTGATAGAAGTTGGTAATGAGTTTAGGAGATTTCTTGGCACGAAATGCCAGCATATTGGTCTGAGTGAAATTGCTGCACTTGTAGCCTCCCTACTATATCAATGAAAGTAGGCTAAAGCTGCATTTACACTATAAGCCAGGAACAGAATGGATTACCCTTTGAGGTTGTTATACAATTTGAAGCACTGGCTTGTGCAGACTCCTCAAAGTTCATTTCGTTGCTCTGTTTACACAGATATTTTAGAGGCTAAAACTGGTGTTTAAATGCCTCACAGTGTTATTCAAGCACCTCGGATCACTTTTACTTTAAAGGCCAGAATAGACTCTGTGTGTTTAATGAAAATTAATTTATATTTATTTGATGGTTCGTAATGTACTTGTGAGTAACTGTATTAGCTTTATAAAGCTTTTGCTTCTGACAGCTACAAATCAAAACAAAATGGCAGCTTCAGTATGTCTCATTCACGTTTTACAGAGACAGTCAGGACCAGGTCTAATTTGCAGGTGACACAAGTCACTGAACAGGGGTCATTGGACCAGAGCTGTAATTGAGACCCCATTTTAAAAGACACATTTTGTCCTTTTTATTCTCATTATAAATTCCAGTGCTAATATTTATAATGGGAAGTACCTGTCACATGGTAATTATACTTTCCTGTCGGTGCTCAAAATTACATAGAATTAACAGAACAGAAGCACATCATTCTGCCCAACAGTGCCTATGTTTCACACAAACGTCCTCCCACTGAATCTTCATCTCACCCTGTCAACATCCCCATATTCTTTGTCTCACATATAACTACCTAGCTCCCCATAAAAGCAGAAAATGTGACCTTGTTACAGAGAAGCCTACAATAGTAAAATGAAGAGATGAACAAAGCCTAACAGTTTTAATTGATCTTCCCTGCAATTGCACACAGGGTGTGATGAGAAAGTATAGTCTGAGGAGCAAGAATACTGGATAGGGGAATAAATGGTTTAGACCAATGCAGACAGAATTCAGTCCCTATTTTAAAGTCATATGACCTCATTCCTTATTTTTCTAATTGAATCATAAATTTCTCTCTATATATTTATAAGGGTAACTGTCTTTGGAAAAATAGTTCCCAGTTCTTCCTCCTCTCTGTGAATCATACAGCACAAAATGAGGCCTTTCAGTGCATTGAGTCTATGCCAACTCTTTGAAAGCATTATCCAATTAGTCCTACTCTCCCAACTCCCACTTTTTCCCCAAAGGTCTGCAATTTTTTTTTTTTTTCTTTCCAAGTATTTAATTTCTTTAGGAAGTTATGATTAAGTCTGGTTTCACCACTCTTGCAAACCGTACATTCCATATATTAACAACTCCCTGTGTTTTAAGATAACAGCTTCTAGTATCTCCTCTGGTCTGTTGCCAAGTACATTAAACCCGGTTACTGAAGAAAAGAAGAACTATCAAAACCAAATCAAAACTATCAAAAGATATGAACAGTATCTAATCTTTCCCTTAATCTTCACTGCTCCCAGAACAACCTCAACTTCTCTAACCTCTCCATGAAACTGATGGCCCTCACCTTTGGTGGTAAATCCTCTTTGTACTCTAAGGCTGTGATACCTGAAATTTGGCGCCCAGAGTTGAACAATATACTGCAGCTAAGGCCTAACCTGTTAGAAGACACCATGCACGATAAATCTACTCTGATAATAGTCTGTTTACCTCCCTCTGTAGCCTCCTCTAGCCCCAGATTCCTCTGACATATCTGCCTTCCTCCTGTTCTAGCCTCTTTTTTTATTCCCAGTTTCTTTGCTCTATCACAGTTGATGTTGCCACCCTAACCTATCTTTTCAGATATTTGTTCAAGCCTATCACTTTGATCGCTCCTTCTGTGCTGAATGTTAATTTTTTTTTGTCTTGTCTACTGTCCTGCAAGGTCCCCTAGTTTGGATTTATAACATTTAAAGATGTTATTTAAATGCAGCTGTTTTGCATTTGCCACCGCAACCTAGGTGAGAAGGTATAAATAGCATAGGCAGTTCCCATTATGAATGTGGGAAAATTAACACTATCGGAGAATTTCAGGAAGTGCACAGGATATAGGAAAATGGTGAGCAGGGAAAGGAACAGCTGGCCTATTGAGCTTGTCCCACACTCTTGACAGCTGGAGAACTGTAGTTAAATGCTTTCTATTGGGCCATTCTCCCTATCATGTACTCTCTGATGCCTTATGCTCCCTGATGCCCCACCCTACTTAATACCCACCCTCCCATCATCACTGACACCCACTGTCCCTAATGCTCCATCCCGTCCCTACTTTCCCAAGCTCCCCCATCACCCAACCCTCACCAAACCCTAGACCCACTGCCATGTTCTTTCCTGGGAAACATGAGAAACAGCTAAGGGCGAATAATGAAAGTATAATGACCCAATCCTCACCAATCTGTCAAACTGAAACAATCAATCTATAGGGTATGCATTTCAGCTGTTGTTATTTTATAGGCCTCTACTTGGATGCCTCCAAGTCTATGCTGCTCCAAAGTTAAAAACAAGTTTGAATTGCTATTACCAGAATGACTAAGGCTCTTTGAAGTAGAAATAATACTTGTAGCTCTCATCTGAACCTTTTCAAAGAGCAGTCTCACCATCTGTGCGCACCAAAACTGGACAGAGTAATTTCAATGTGATCTAACCAGTAACCTGTTCAGCCTTTTAGATCTTCCCCAAGACAGCTCTAAGCTTATTATATTATCACAAAGTCAATTTATCTTAAGAGATAGTATATGAGGGTGTCTATTCAGTCTGATGCCATTACAGTTCAAACATTCACTGAACGCTGTCTTTCGTATGGTCTACTAGCATTAAACAAAATGTACTGTAGATGGCATGCAAATCGATCATCGAATCTTTGAAAAATTCCTCCAAAAGTGGGTGTTAACTTGTATGCTGAGTATAAAAGTGAAGAGTGGCAGTGGGTGTTTGGCATCTTTGTCATTGTCTACTCTGTGTAGGTGTGTTTTAAGTACCCACACATCTTTGCAATGTATTGCCTGCTTAATCCTTTATGCCCAGTGGTATGGTACAGGAAGTAAAATGCCCATTTACAAACACAAACAACATGCGTATTAGGATGAGGAGGAGGCCATTCAGCTGCTCTAACCTGCTCGACCATTTGCTAAGATAATGGCTGATCTGATTGTATCCTCAACTCCACTTTTCTGCCTATCCCCAACAATGTTAGACCCTCTTGTTAGTCAAGAATCTATTCACCACTGTTTAAAAGGTATTCAAAGATCTACCTCCACTATCCTCCAGGGAAGAGAGTTCCACAGCTTTGCAACCCTCAAAGAGACAGAATTTCCTAATTCGCATTTAATTGGGAGACCCATTATTTTTAAACTATCACTGGTTTTAGTCACTCGTCCTCAAGGGAAATCATCCTTTCAGTATTTGTCTTCTCAGATCCCCTCAAGATCTTGTATGTTTCAATAAGATTACCTTTCCTCCTTCTAAACGCCAAAGGTCACAGGCCCAAATTGCCCAAACTTTCCTCATAATATAACCCGCAATCCAGGTATCAGGAAAGTGAACCCTCTCTGATCTGTATTAAACATACTTGTATCCTTTCTTAAATAATGAGACTAAAAATGTACACCATGCTCCAAATGTTGCCACACTGCTTTCTCTATCCGGCTGTAGCCAAACATTCCCCCTTTCATAGTCCATTCCCCTCACAATAAATAATGACATTCCATTATCTACCTAATCACTTGCCATACCTGCAAGGTAATGATCTATGATTCATGTACCAGAACACCCAAATACCTCTGTATGTCTATGATCTCTCACAAATTCATTGAATTGTTGCTTTTCTATTTTTTTAGCCATAGTGAACGAGTTGATATTTTCCAACAACATTGTACTCCATCTATCAAGTTTTTTTGATTGTTCACTTCACCTATCTATGTTCCTTTGCAGACTTCATATGTCTTCGAAATCTGCTTTCCTACCGATCTTTGTCTAATCAGATAATTTAGTAATTTTACATTTGGCCCCATCATCCAAGTCCTTTATATTGATACTAAATAGTTAAGGCTCCTGCTTGTGACAAGCCATTTGTTGCACCTTACAACCTAAAATAAATTCATTCATGCCTATCCTCTGTTTCCTGTTATCCAACCAATCCTCTACGAATGCTAATAAGTTAGTTCCTACTCCATTAACTCTTATTTTGCCTAGTAATCTTTAACATGGCATCTTACCTTCTGGAATTCAAAGTAACATACATCAACTGTGTCCCTTTTATCAATGTGTGTGTTGCTTCCTCAAATAACTAATAAATCAGTCAAACATGATTTCCCTTTAATAAAGCCACGCTGACACTGCCTGATTGCATTAAGATTTTCTGCTAATAATAATAATAGATTCCAGCATTTTGCCAAAGTAAATTGACTGAGTATTGTTACCTGCTTTCTGTCTCCTTCTGTCCTTGTGTACAATTGCTATTTTCCAAGCTGATGTGATCATTCCAGAATCTACAGAATTTTGTAAAATAAAAAGCAATGCATCTACTATCTCAATTAACAACCTAGGATGAAGACCAACAGGACTTGTCAGCTTTTAGTTCTAGTAATTTTCTCCGTACCTTTTTCCTCGTGATTGTAATTGTTTTAATTTTGCTCCCTTTGCGTTCTGGTTCATCATCAGAACTCTGAAAAGTCACCATACTCAAAATGTTAATTCTGCTTTGTTCACACAGAGGCTGCCAGGCCTGCTATGTTCCACCAGCAATTTCTGTTTTTGTTTCTTTTCATGCTGTAATGTTTCTTGCTAACTTTCTTTCCTTTTCTTAGTTTCTCGCTATTTATTAATCTTCTAGTCATCCTTTGGGGTCTTTATATTCTGTCCAGTCTTCAGACCTACAACTCATCTTCGTGAAATTATATGCTTTCTATTTAAGGTACAGACACAATGGGCCAAAATAGGACAGTAGTAGGCCATTCATGACCCCCGAGCCTGCTTCACCATTCAACGTGATTCCCCTACTGATCATGAATCTATCTATCTCGGCCTTAAATATACACAAGGTCTCACAAATGCCTTCTTGTGCACTGTTATGATTCTGTGATATTATCTTTAACTTATTTAATTAGTCGCAATGGTGCATTATTTCCCTTCTTACTGGAATGTATATTTTCTGAGTATTCTGAAATATCTCCTTTAATGTCTGCCATTATGTCTCTGCTGATTTATCCTTTAACCTGGCTTCCTAGTTCACTTTAGCTAGCTCTCCTCTCTATGCTCTCATTATTACTTTATTTAAGTTGAAAACATTAGTATTAAGTCTACTTGTCAAATCTATTTGTAGATTAAAATCCTGATTATCTTAAAACCTTTCACACAAAAGCATGTTATTTCTTCGCCATGTATCACATGCTGGAACATAGTTGCTGTTAGCTCTATAAACCACTCCGACAAGTAACTTCTGACCTTTACAGTTTCACGTCTCTACCCAAACTGATTCCACAACTTGATCTCCAGAACTAAGGATCTCTCTCCCCTTCTGTCTCTGGACTGATGCCATATTAATTAGCAGAGCTACCTTTCCACCCCTATTCAGCTTTCTGCCTTTCCTAAATGTTATGAGGTTGTTGACTTGCTCATCGAGCTGGCTTGTTCTCGTTCAGACATTTCGTCACCATGCTAGATGATGTCATCAGTGGAGCCTCCAATGATGCGGTGTTATTCTACTCCACTTGGAATTTATACTGTTTGGCCTGTTATAGTGAGTAGTGTCATTTCCAGTTTTAATCTATATGGGTTTGTATTTGAAGTCCAATTCTACGGGTTTGTTGATTGCATTATGGGTGGAGAACCATGCCTGTAGGAATTCCCGTTCGTGTCTATAACTGTAGTAGCCCAAGCCAAACATAGACACGCACGGGAATTCTTAGAGGCATGGTTCTCCACCTGTAATGCAGTTAACAAACACATAGAATTACACCCCATTACAGACCAGAAATGACACTACTCATCTTAACAGACCAAACAGTATAAGTTCCAAGCAGAGTAGAATAACACCGCTTTATCGAAGGCTCCACTGATGATGTCACCTAGCATGGTGACGAAATGTCTCAACAAGAACAAGCCAGCTCAGTGAGCAAGTCAACAACTTCACCCACAACCTGAGCTGCAGATCTTCGCCAAAACTTTCCTAAATGTCATGTGCCATTGAATATTCAGATCATAATCTCTTCTATCTTGTAGGCATGTTCTTGTAGCCATGTCTCTCCAATGACTATCAGATTATACATATTTACTTCTACTTGCAGTTAGTTCATCTGCTTTGTTACGAATGCTATGTGTATTTAGATATAGCACGTTTAACTCTGTCATTCTACAGTTTGATTTTACTGTTGGGCTATTAGGTTTGTATACTCTGTTCCTTCTTGTCATGTTCTGATCACTATTTCCCTTACTGCTACCTCTCTCTTCTCCATTGAGTTATGGAATCTTCCCAAGCTTGATCCTTCACCCCCATTATTGAGTTTTAAACCCCCTCTACTGCCCTTGATATATGATTTGTCAAATCCCAACACAGTTAAAATAAAGGTCATCCCAATGATGCAAATCCATTTGTTCCAACACGGTTCAGGTAAAGGCCATCCAAACGGTGCATGTCCATTTGTGGGGTGAAGTATAGAGGCTGACCACTATTGCAAGTGCAGATGTCATGGTTAAAAAGAGGGGTCAGCTGGGGACTACTAGGCTAACATCATTATTGGGAAGCTGATTGATGGGTTTCTAAGAAATGTCGTTAGCAAGGATGAATTTTAAGACTACGGGGCATATTTTTAAGGCGAGAGGAGAGAAATTACATGCAAATACATGCAAAAATATGATTTTTGGGTGTAAGGAGCGGGGTTATCTTGTGTGTCAACTTGACTGCCACACCACAATTTATTACTTACAAAATAAAGCAAGATTCAAAATCAAGTTAACTTTTATGACTACTGTTTCACACGGTCTAATTTTCCAGCATTTCTGCGTCAAATCATTAATAAAAACAGTGAACTATAGCAGGCCCAACATCAATTTCTGCAGAACTAATAACTTGACTGCAGATTGTCTCTTAATTGCCAGTTTTTAAATACTCTAATTCCCACTCACGCTCAATATGTTCTTGCAAACTTAAAGTGAAGTGTGTTGAAACATCTTTCTGAAAGTCCGAGTAAGCAGTATAAATCAAATGAGCCATATCTACCAATGAGCAACGATTTTTAAAAAAAACTCAAGCGAGCTTGTGTGATGTGACCTTTTTTCCAGAAGCTGTTCCCTGTGTCTTTAACGGTCCTTTCTCTTCTCACTGGCATGGAAACAGACCCTTCGGGTCCATGCTGAACATAATCCCAAACTGAACTAATCCCACCTGCCTACTCCTGGCCCATATCCCTCCAAATCTTTCCTATTCATATACTTATCTAAGTGTTTTTTAAACATAACTCTGCCTGTATCCACCACTTCCCTAGGAAGTTCATTCCACATGCAAACTACCCTCTGTAAAAAGAAATTACCCCAGAGATAGTAGGAGCTACAGATACTGGAGAATCTGAGATAACAAGATGTAGAGCTGGATGAACACAGCAGGCCAAGCAGCATCAGAGGAGCAGGAAAGCTGACATTTTGGGGTAGACCTAGGCCCGAAACGTCAGCTTTCCTGCTCCTCTGATGCTGC